AAGACTCCGTGGCCCTAAAGAGTTCACTGTGGGCCCCCAGGAAGATAGGTCATGAACTGGGGCTGTGGATCTTCCTAGGTTCAGTCCCAGATGCAGAAGTGAAACCTCTCCACGGTGAAGGACTGGAGAGCTTTGAAGGTCCAGTGGGGCCAGAGGGTGCCATGAGGCTGACAGAAGTGGAGGGGTCAGAGAGCGTTGAAGGACCTAAGGAGTGTGAAGGTCTAGAGAAATTTGAGGGACTGGCAGAGCTGAAGGGATCAATCTGCAGGATTAGGACAGCTGGCATGGATGGAATGCCCCTGTCTCACTCTCTGGGAGACCGAGATTTGGCCTGCCCCCTTGTTGAATCCCAGCAGAAACCAGTGTCCAGCCTGGGACTCGGGACAGAGGCAGTGGCCCAGGAGGTCTGGTGAGGTGACCAAACTGGAGAGGTGATCCACAGACTGAGGAACTCACCGGCATCCTCCTCCTCTTCCGGTTACATAAAAAATTTACAAACTAGAGGAGGCCATTCGGCCCATGAAGCTTGTTTGGGGGAAAACAAGGGGGTTCCACCAGATCTCTAACTTCCCAGAAGTCAAACAGGGTATTCTCCTTGATTCACCAGGGTGAGTGAATCAGAGGATTGAGCAAAGGCATGAGGCTGGACGCAGGGGAAATCTTCCCCGCAGAAACGTGGGGAGGCCACTTCTGGGAAGCCACTTGTTATATTGCATAGGTCTGTCATTCTGCCATGACCAGTGGGATGGAAAAAATGCAAGCCGGAGCAATGGGCAATTAAACAGGGTTTCATTAAACAAAAGAAAATAAACACACAAAATAAAAAGACCTTGAGGGATCTGAGCTGAACTAAATGGGAAGGGACAGGCATAAGCTACAGAAGGAAAAGACTTCAATGACAGACCAGGGTGGCCAGAATGGAGGACACAGGAACAGGTATGGGGCCAAACAAAAAAGTGGTTTTATTAACTAAACCATAACAGGCAAACAAAAAGGATCACAGGGGATCAAGAGGGGAAGGACTACACAACTCCAATGATGCAACTGGGTGTTACGAGCCCCAGTCTAGGCTTGGGGCGTAACAGAATGGAAGGGAAAGGGGGAAGGGGAATAAGGGAAACACAGGGTGTGGTGCACAAGGGAACACACGTAGACAAAGGGGTATTTTTTTGTATTTTTCTGATTTCATTTACACGCGACAGATACAGGACAAATAAACCCGGTGCAAAAGGACTCAGGAGTGACTATAGCCAAAATAACAAACAGAAAGCCCAGCTACTGAATGCAACCCAAATCTAACTTAACTATGTGCAAGAGAAATCAAAGAACAAAAACAAGTACTACACCTCACCAAACCAAACAACAACCAAACAACAGCATACACAAAAGACCCCCAAAATAAATATGGCAACCACTCCCTACGCACCTAACAAACACACAGAACATACACAGGCAAAGCGTCAGAATCCGAGGGGCGCGTGAAGACGTAAACCAGAAACCGGGCAAGAGATTGAAACCAAAAAGCAAACAAACCAAGGCAGAAGTACAGAAAAGGGCAAAGCGAATAATCGTAAACCAATAAACCGAAACCGTCATACACAATAGTCAAATCAAAGAAAGCAAATCAACAATAGCCCAAAAATGAGCAGAGCTCCCGAAGTTTCTTGCTGTCCAGCTTTTCACCTTTGCTGGACAGAAGTGACGGACGGTCTTGCGGGGAGTCGTGGGCGGGGTCCGGACGGGGAGGCGGAGCAAGGGCCGAACGGAGTGGACCTGGCCGTGGGCAGAGCTGGATAAACAGCGGCACGTAACACTGGGAATCACAACGCTGAGAAGTACTTGGTCTACTGGACTAACAAGGGGGCTCAATGAGAGGCAGCTGATGTGGATCACAAGAAGGCAGGAGCGAGAGGTAAAGCTAACAAGGGACAGGTGTAGCTTAAGCAAGTCACCTTGCTTAAGGGAGGAGACAGGAGGATCAGGCAGGGCAAGGCAAGGCAGGGCAAGGCATGGCAGGGCCTTCTTATTTCTATCAGACAGTAGATCTATCAGATGTGTATTTGATGGAACTCCTGACATACCAGATTTGTTTGTCTCTGCTATGAGCTCCTTGATGAACAATTAAAAAAATGAAGAGTCCTTTGATATTTTCTTGGGTGTCAATCATGCATTTTTTTCTCCATCCGCATAGGTTACTTTCAAAGCAGACTCCACATCAATGGGGGCAACTTGGATCTCAGTGGCCTTTTTTTAAACTCTGTATGTTATCTGTACATGTTATTTCATCTTTGCTTGTGAAAACCTCACAGACATCAGTAATCAATGACTCCCACAACCAGGCTCCCTTCTCTAGGGACAGTCAGCGCACAGGGCTGCTGGAGACTTCTGGTGGTCGCACTCTTTCTCCCAGTTGGCCAACTCTCCAGCTCCTGCTGCTCCTGCTCCATGGACTCCCGCAGCTGCACCCAGTTTTGATATCCATCTTTTATGATTTCCCTTGCAATATTTATAACAATGGTTGAGGTAGATAGTGGGGAGCTGGGTGCCAATAATGCGTGGAGCAGTTTTCACTTCTTGAAAAAAGAGCTATGCAGTCAGAAGCGGAGCAGCTGTGGTACCTTACCGAGATGCAGTTGGTGATGATACTCTCGATGTTGCAGCGACAGAAGTCCAACAGCACCTGGAAGTGCTGGTGGGCTTTCCTGAGCCTCCACTGAAAATAGTTATACTACTATATGAAAAGTATGACCATTCCATATCACATACTGTAGCACAATTGAATCAGCTTAAATAGTATGTGGCCAATACGTTTTTAACATATTAAATGTGTGTTTGAAATTCATTTAATTAAATCTATTTAAAGTGTATTTAAGTATAAATTAAGCTGGGCCAAAAGAATACAAAGTCAGTACACTGAATATACTTGTAGTGCAGGGGTCTCCAACTCTGGTCCTGGAGAGCTACTATCCAGTCGGTTTTCAATCCTACCTGGCTTCTGATGAGCCACACCTGTTCTCAGGTAAATACCAGGTGTGGCTCATCAGAAGCCAAGTAGGATAGAAAACCTACTGGATAGTAGCTCTCCAGGACCGGAGTTGGAAACCCCTGTTGTATCCATATCATTACCTATTGTTCTTAAGTCAAAAAAGCCTGATAAAAGAATGCTATAAATTAGGTGTGCAAGTATATTAATACCATATTATTTTTTTCACAAAGGATAGGCTACAAAAAAGTCACAACTTAAATAAATGTTAAAAGGCCATTTTAGTGTAGGGTAATTAACTATTAAAAACAATATTGTGCCAGCCATGGAGGACATACCCAGAATTAATTGCAACAACAAATCTGGCACACAGGTCTTAATGCAGGCTGTTTAAAAGACTTCCAATGTTCCATGCGCTCAGTGAAGTCATCCACAATTTGTGATAGGTCCAGCTTCTTTGCTCACTCATTCTTGATTGACAATAGGGCTAATCTACTAAGGCTCTGTTGACACATTGTAATCCAGAGGTAATTTAAAATTAATTTAAGTTTAGAAAATGAGTGGTCTGCTGTCGCAACTGTGACAGTAAGGGTGAGAAATGGCAAAAAAGCAGTGGACACCTCACTGAATGTTGAAGTTACTATTGGATGATGTACTGTGAGCAGTTTTGCCAGGCTTATGACAGATACATTATGTGTTTTGCTATCTACTCCTTAGAACATGTCCTAAATTACACTAGATGACCAGGAAAGCTGGAGTCAATATCCTGACTATAGTGATCACTTAATGGACAGGCGACTTTGTATAGTCTTTGAGATTGAATTTGTACATTGCAAAATCTTTGTTTGAAGGCTGATCAAAAATATGAATTGAAATGTACTAATAGCTGTTTTAAGCACATCTGCTTTATGTCGTTCATCCCGTCTATCGCTTCTAAGTGAGATTTTGTCAAGAGCTTTAACAATGTCTCCATACCTGTACTTTAATGCAACAAGTGCACCGTAGCAGGAGGACCAGTGAGTTGGGCAGAGGCTTTTTAAGATAATGTCCTTGCTCTCCGGGCTCATTAAATCACCAAGCAATGCCCATCTCTTAGCATCGTGAGCAAAGGAATGTGTACAGCTTTTCAAAAATGTCATAAAACTGTCGGACCGCTGCGATGTTTTTAATGGAATCATTTGTGCCAAATTCATATTATGAGTTGCACAGTACACATACAAAGCAAGTGGCTCCCGCTCCGCTATTTTAGCTTGAACGCCAAAATAAATTCCACTCATATCTGCTGTGCCATCATACCCCTGTCCACGGCATCTAAGTCATTTTCTTCAATGGAGCTCACAATTCTTCCCCCCATTTCAGAAGCAGATGAATTTACAGTGAGTTCAAATCCAAGAAGAGCATCAATAGTCCTGATATCTCTAGCAACACCCGTCACATCCCTGTCAATTGAAACATACCTGTATGCCTCATTCAAATGATCTCGCTTTGCTACCTCTTGAGTGGTGTCTATAATAATAGAATAAAACGGGGGTAATCTGGCCCCCTAAATGCAAGGTTACACAAAGCTTGGTTACATTCACAATGCATTCTAACACTTGCCTCCAAAGGTTAGCCGTATTGCGAACATCCATCTCCATGTCAGCATCTATTGTTCCATGGAGCTTCCACTGCTCATAGAACATGTATTTCCAATCTCTAGCACTATCTACTCAGGCACTTTTGAAAGAGGGGGCTTGACAATTGGCAAAAAGCCAGCAAGGCTCATGTTGGGGCAAGTAGCACAACCAACTGTGTGGCAACTTGATGCCAGTTTTAGTGAGGGATACATATTGGTGAGATGCAAAGCTACAATTTGCTACTTAGCAGGAAAGGGATCCTTTGGCTTACATGGACCAGTTTGAAGGATGTACCTCTTTACACTAACATCGTCAAAGTTTTCAGGGAAATTACCTCAGTCTGTTGGATAATTATCTTTTCTGTGCCTGTGGATTCCACACCAGGAACCGTGTTTCTCACCTAACTGCTCTCCACCTTCCCCATCCTCCTCTATCTGATCTGGGCCTGAGCTAGCCTGAGTACTGCTGCTAAGCACCACACTGCTGCTACAGTCTGCTCTTGGCAGCAGCCCATTTCCATACAGGTTCCTGTGATTCTCTGTGCCTATAAAACTCGGCCAAACCCCACAACCAGTTGCAAGAAATTGTTTCAATGTGCAATTACCAAGCATACTATTTCCTCCCTGCTCTTTCCCCATTGCTTTTATCTCATTCTGTATACTTCCATTTGCTGGATTTACTGTGATTCCCAGTTCCCCACCAAGTAGACATTATTCCTGAATCCACTGCATGCAAAACTGTCTGTCTCCACTTCCTTGTGTCTACACGTGTGGTAGTGTACTGCGCAGTTTGTAATCACAAACAACTTCCTGCAGCATAATAAAAGTTTTCTGATTCTGATTCCACTCACTGTCAGGCTAAAGAAGCGTGCATAAATGGCTTGCCCTTTGCCTTATTTCCTGGCTTTTCCCAGAGTTAAGCTTGAAGCCCTGCAAGAGAACACTATTCCACCCCCTGTTGAGGCCATATCCCATTGGAAGTTCTTGAGGCCTAGGAAACCAAAATTATCATTCGCCTGTGTGGTGCTGATTGCCCTCTGCTGGTGAATGTTGGATTCCTAACCAGCCATTGTGTCACAGGGAAACATTATTTGGTTTCCAATTCCGAGTAATATTTATGCATTTGTGCAAATCAATGAGTTCCAGCATTTACATTTCAGTCATGTATAACATGTAAAACTTATAAAAAATTAACACATAACTACTGAATATAAGGTGATGTAGTTATGCATTATCTGTGGATTCTGACACAAAGGCAGGAGCAGGTAAAAATGTATTTTTTATTATAAGACATAGTTATACCATTTATCATCATTATATTATGAATCAGGATATCATAAAAGTTTTCTTACATATCAAGTAGCAGTTAATGTATGGTTTGGCAAAAAGGCTATACAGCATTATGGTGACTGTCTCATTCTCTAAGTCTAATGTCAGAATATAAAACATCGGTGTTGGTTTTTTGCATCCTCGGCCCCATCTCTGATTTCCTCTTTGGGAAAATGCATTCATTGTAAAGTAGTTGTTGTGGGTCATGAGTCTGAACAAAGAACCAGGGAAATTAGAATTCTGCTATATATAGGGACAAAGAAGGTGACTTTTTTTAATTTGACTGGATAATGAATAGTAAAACACTAACATTTACTTAAGAAATGTGCCAAACACTTTTTAATGTAAGACTGCAACATCACCTTTTTCTGAATAAACAAACATCCATGGATATCATTTATATAATATATAAAATAATATAACTTGGACTGTACCTCACTATGTGGCATAGTGGAGAACGGATGATGTGTTTTTCCTGGGAAAAATAACACATATATTTATTGAGAATTCAATGAAGTGCATTTTATTATTTTATAATACAAATATAAGCATTCTGAAAAAGGTATTTGATAATAAAACATTAATTAAACTAAAATGGTAGAAACTGAAAACTTACGTTGTATTCTGGTCTTCTGAATATAGATAAGGACGATTATCAATATCACACATAAAATGTTGGATATTGTTAAACCAAGGACTAAAGGATCAGCTTGGTTTTCTTGGTCAGTACCTGTATAATTAAAAAAAATAAAGTTGCAGTGTGTCTTCTACTACTGCCAGTGTATTATTGATGTATAAACTGCCTCCTTATTTTTTAGAAAATAGGGAAACATTTTATAATTTGCATGGTTAAGAACTAATACATTTAGGGAACAAGCTAATTTCAAATATATTCGTATATAAAGCAGTTGAAATTTACAAACTGCAGATGAAAATCACATACAGATTATTGTAATATCAGACTTGACCTGATTTACTTTGCAAATACTTTACCACCTTGCAAATATATTTTTATTAGACACTCATGATAAAATTACAACTCTTACCAAGTACCAAGTGAGTGAAAAAATCACAGCAGCCTGAATTATTACTTTAAAAAAATTACAGTAACCTGAGCTCTTACCATGTACCACCTGGAGGCCATCTGAGTATCACGGGTGGTACCACAGTTTGGGAACCACTGAACTAAATTTTCTTTTCATCATGAAATTCCACAAAATATTTAAACCTAAATACCTAAAGATGCACATATATACAGTAGTATGCAAAAGTTTGGGCACCCCTCGATAAATTACATATTCTGGTCATTTTTTTATGGAAAAGATAAAACTATAAAACTCTTTGTTCAATTTATGACATAAAAAGTAACTATGCATCAATGTTTGGTGAAAATACTGTGCATTTTTTCCATTTCCTACAGAGACTGTTTTTACATCTTTTCCATAAAAAAATGACCAAAATATGTAATTTATCGAGGGGTGCCCAAACTTTTGCATACTACTGTAATTATCAAAATAAAATAAATCACCTTTAATGTTCAGCTTGGTCCCATTCCCAAAGAGGATCTCCCCACACATGGCCACAGCGCAGTAGTAAGTCCCAGCATCAGAGAGGCTAAGGTTCCTCTTGGGGAGGCTATAGACACAGCTCTGTGTAGGAGATCCAGCCTCAGAGCTCTTCTTACACTTATCACTCCTGTTCCCATGGGTGTAAATGACTCCTGGAAGGGATTCTCCTGATCCATGTTTGAACCAGTAAACACCGTGTTCTCCTGCACAGCTCTCAGTCTCTATTGTACACTGCAGGGTCACAGAGTCTCCTGGGTGGACTGAGTTAGACACAGGCTGCTGACTAAAATACTTCTTTGTAGTTCCTAGACCTGTAAGAAAATGTTAGTACTAAGAGATATATGTGTGGCAGGTTAATGTGGTATTTAATTCTTCTAGGATTATTTTTTAACACATTTGCTACAGAAAAAACTGAGAAAGAGTTAAGATGGACGAAGATATGAAAAGCAATATTCCGGTAAAAAGCTGACATTGTCGCCACATGTATTGAGTCAACCAATGGAAATATTTAACCTGATAACATATGTAATTATGTCTATAATTGAATTAGGTCTTCCTTTACTTGAAATTCATATTGATTTGACATTAATAATTTGTTACCTTCATATTTCAAGAAAAAATTGTTCCAGAAAATGATGCGCTCATACTCTCGTGTGCAGCAGAAATAGAAGCCGGAATCCATGGGCTTTGCATTTGAAATGGTCAGACTCATGTTTGTCGAGTTTTTATGCACTGCAAAGCGCTGATCCCCTTGGAACTCCCCATAAAATACAAGTTCCATATTATAACTGTAAACAGACATTATACTTTGAGGTGACTCCCCTACTGCCTGTTTGAACCAGTAGAAGTAGGTGCTATCTACAGAAGAGATGGAACAGTGCAGGGTGACGGTATCTCCAAGGTGGAAGGTCTTCATGTGTTCAGCCTGGGTGAGCAGGACAAGATTAACCACTGAAGGAAAAAATGAGAGAAAATTATTTGAGGACTACAATAAATGAATCACTGAAATGCAAGAATAAAGCAAACAAAATTAGCACACATATATGAAATGTATAATTACTGTATTACCATAAATAATTATTTACACAAAATGAGAACACTGAGGAAAAAAAGTCAGCATTTCATACCTGTTAGAAATAACAGCAGCAGAGCTGAGCAGAGCCTGATCATCCTGATCAAACCTGGTGTAAACTGATATCTCCCTCCAAAAAAGACTGGGAGGTCAGTACTGCATGTGACTAATAACTGAAGCCATGTCCCACACATAGCAGAGAGCTTGATTGGCTGGTACATGATCACTGCAGAGCGGAAACAGATTAGATGCCTCCGTATTTGTGTATATCAAAATGTGCCATTCAATGTTCTCGGCTTAAGTGTGGAGCTGATTCCTTTAAATTCCAGAAATGATTCCAGAATTTCCCCCTGGGATTAATAAAGTCAATATTAATCTTAATTAAAGGACAATTAATTTCAATTTAATTGGTATATTTTTGTAAAACAGATATTTAGGGAAATTGTATATATAGTGTGACAACTATAGTTATAGTTATTGATCTATATAATTTTTTGGTTATTTTGTGAAATTGTACTGCCTAGTACTATGTCCCTAAGTTTATGTGGAGCTTTCATTAAAGGGGTCAGTGGAAATGAATAACTACTTTGCACTATACAAGTCTGTCCCAGTACTGGGAATGTAGTGGCCAATAGAAATTAAGGGATGGAAAAGAGAGCAAGGGAATCCTCTGGCAATCATAGAAATTCCGATATGACAGTTTTTCCATTTAACCCCCGAATATAAAAAGCCTTAAATAAGCCTCTAATATATTCTGTGAAATTCACTTTATATTGTTCTTTATCTCCCACAAGCATATATTTCTTTGATAAAAAGCTTTAATTCGCAATGGTCTTATTTTCAACCACAGTGCCATTATGATTACATCATATGGCACAGGCTTCATGCACACCCACATACTTTCATCTGTGCATGAGGCAGTTGACCTGGCTTGGCCTGTGGTCAGACTGATGTTTTGGAAACTACACTTTGCACCTTGCTCTAGTTTAAAACAACCACAGAGATATGAGGCAAAGAAGAATCTCACAATAAACAGATGTGGTAGTGTCTTGGAAACCAGGCACTTGAAAAGAATCTGATAGAGGCCACAGCCTTAACAAAATCTCAAGTGTGCTCCACATTCTGCAACCAGCCTGCAGCTTTTCTGTCTTAATGCTTTGGTTTTCATTTCAGTCTTGCAAAACAGGCACTTTCCTGTTTATATTTTACAGGTTTGGTGTATCTGGCCTGTTCCTATGTTTTGTCTGAAAAGGAAACACTTTTCCTCAAACAAAGCCCCCTTTTTATTTTCTGTTGCTGATGTGTTCACAGGAATGAAAGTTCACATCCTTAAGCTGAAGAATCTTTGGTATTTATCAATGTAATGGGGCAAGGAGTGTGGTCATGACCTAATGGCTGTGGGGGTTTCACTCATTGAAAAATAATTCTTTATAATATATTAATGTCCTTCTCTCTGTCATTCTCAAAACAGTTTGGTATTTAGGCCTCATGCCTCCAAGTTTTGTGTTCTATAAACAACGTGTATCCGCCATGTGTAAGTTTGCTTTGTCTCCTGCTTTTTCCCGTTTCTTCTGGCTGCATTGATCTCGTTTTGCAATCCAAACACTTAAAGTAAGGATAACTGGTGTATTTAATTTGCCTGCATTGTGTCATTATAATTCCAGTCATGTGTCCTGTACTATCTGGGATAAGCCCCTGAAGACACCTGACCAGGGTAAGCAGTTGGAAGAGGGATAGAAAAATAATTGTTCATAATATATACATATATGTACATTTATCACTATGGCATGGAGTTGTTCTTGGTTTATATTCCTGATTTACTTTATTATATCAACAAGTTAAATAGAAAGTTATTACAAATATTATTTTACATTTAACTCCAGATTCTTATATACTTATATTTAACTTCAGTCCAGTAAGAGACAATGGAGTCAAAATAACTGCTCTGTGTTTTTTGAACATTAGCATTAATGGTTCAATGGTGATGAGAATATCACAACTTTTTATGGTAGACTATTAAGTATGTTGAATTCTAACTCCATTGATGTGAAACTTAAAAACAATCTAACTGATACTCAAGAATGGCTCAGCACTAAAATTTTGAAAATGTTTTATTAAATGTGAAGTATTTAATCAGAGTGAACAGACCATAAAAGATGTTTCACTTGAGCTGGTCAGATTCAACACTGAACTGTTGCTTCCTCTACCTCACTCCACAGGAAATGACACACTCTGCCAGCCACCAATGAAACCAGGCCCACTTGTTAGTGTTTTACCGAATAAAGTAATGTGAGAAGGCTGGCTTTGTTCAGCCAACAAGGGTGAGACCAACAGCATTTCGATGTATATTGCAGGGTTTAGTGGCACAGTGGGCTAAGCCTGTGTGCCTGTAATCAAAAGGTCACTAGTTCAAACCCAGCCTCAGCACATCTGCAGGTCCTTGAGCAAGGCCTTTAACCCCCAGCTCCCTGTGTGCCCCAACAGGTGGCTGCCTTTCCCCAACAGCTTGCTCTATAAAAAAGAGCAAGTTGAGGGAGGCATAAAAAGACAATTTCCCCACAGGGATCAATAAAATTATTATTATTTAATCTCTTTCACATCACATTTGCTGCTGTAACCTCAGTTACTTTAAGTGCCTTATTTAAACCAGTGATACCTTTCTCTCATGAGTGATATTGCACAGTTGTGGTTAAATGTTTACATACACCTATTACGCACATGTTTGTCATGGCAGTTTTGGGCTTCCAATAATTTGTACAACTGTTCTTCTTCTGTGGCAGAATGATAATACAACACACAATCACAAAAAAAATCACAACTTTGATGCACAAGTTTTCTGAAACCAACACAGGGTCAAAAATATACATACAGCACACCTAATATTTGGTTAAATGTTTCAGGATAAGGCATGTTTCACCTAGATCAGATGCCTTTAGGAGTCTTAACAAACTTCTGGGAGAATTTTGGTAGGATATTTGACCACTCTTCTTGGCAGAATATATAGAGTTCAACCAAATTTGTTCGTATTTGGGGAAAATGGTCTAGCGATAATTAAATCAACTACAAATGTAATAATTATATATAAGTTAGGATAATGCCAAAGGTTAGGTAATGTCAATTGCACAAAATTCAAACACTGTAACATTTTATTTTTATTGAAGGATTCTCATCTTTGTGAGAATGACTAAATATAAGCGTAGTAGGCTACCACTATGTTTTCATTTTCAGAATAAATGGGATTCTTTAGATTTCAGTTAGGTTCAAAATATAGATACATTTTGCTTGTTGTGAAAATCATTGAGGGGATAACCCCCTTTCCTTGCTTGATATATGAATCGTACTTTTTGTATAGCTGTGCCTTCATTATCGGGTTAAATGCAGTAGGTGTGACCATTCTGATGAGGGGATGAGGGGAAAATGACATTGACAAGTATAGTAGCTTGATGGTCTGAGTCAATTTATGATTATTTTCAGTTTCATGTCCTACATCAGTACCTCTCAAATGCTCTGGCACAATACTGCATAAAACTTCATTTCCTATTTTACATTCCACAAGCATGTCAGATTTTGAGGGTGAAGATGTGGGGTTTCCCCTGACAGTTGCAGTCACACTTGCCCTGTGTGCAGCAAGTTATTTCCTTCTCTTTATCTTCAGATCTGACCACTTTTTTGGGGGCATTGAGTAGAGCTGATTACATTTGCTGCAATACAACATACTTTTAAAGATTCAACTTTATCATTATTGCACAAAGTACAAGTAATCTGACACCAAAATGCAATTTGGCATCTAATCGGAAAATGGGTCATTCCATGTCAAATCATCACACTTTCATAAGAACATAAGAACTATACAAACGAGAGGAGGCCATTCGGCCCATCGAGCTCCCTTGGGGAGAACTTA